AAGTTGTTTTTCATTATTATTATTTTATTTTGAAAATGGAAGCAAAAATTAGTTTAATATATTTTTTAAATTTATGAAGAAAAAAAAAAATCTCTTATTTTCAAAATAAGTTTTAACTCTCTCCTCCCTCCCTCCCTCCCTCCTCACCATCTCCAATCACCACTCACTACCCACTACCACAACCATTGGCCACTGACAATCTCACACCACCCTTCAGTCCTTTTGTTGTCTCTGACCACCTCCAGCCACTACTACCACCAACTACCCATGCCACCATTTTTGACAACTCACCAAACATATTTCTTTGTTTTTCTTTTTTAATTTATGTTCAAAACATTTGTGTAGGCCAAATAAGGTTTTTGTTTTCTATGTAGAAAAGATTCTTTTTTAATTTATGTTCAAAACATTTGTGTAGGCCAAATAAGGTTTTTGTTTTCTATGTAGAAAAGAAGAAAAAGAAAATAGGAGATCAAACCATGCCATAATTATTTATTTATTTATTTTTTTACCATACGATAGGATGTTAAGAGGTTTGTAAGTTAGATTATAATAAAAAGATCGCAATCGCGACATTGACTTGAAACCTAAATTTTTGATCTTCTCATTGTATCAAGAAATAACTATACGGACCACTGGACCAACGATCCTATCCCTGTTGCCTTGAAAATTTACACATGGGAATCATCTACGGTTTGGTGTCACAATGTTTGTGTGTCCCTGAATGATTATACTAGATAGATAATAGTATAATCAATATACTGAGTTTTTGATAGAACAATCTGTTCAGGTAATGGAAGCTGCTCAATCCAAATTGAAGGATTATATGTATGTAATTTTCAATAATTTGAAGTTTATCAAAAATCAAAAATCAAAATCTACAATCATGAAAAGCCTTTTTTAGCAACTATGGACGAAAAATGTGCCTCCGTGTACCAAGAAAGTCATTGGTCAGGGCATATCTAACTACACAGTGACAGTGTCCACTTTAGAACATTTTCAACCATCGTTGTTATAATGTCATTTATACTATTATAATTTGACAATAAATGGTATTATTTTACCAAATTATAGTAATGGTGTTCTAATAGTCATTTACTATTTTGGCAAATCTCAACTAACTTTCCCTCCAAGTTTGTAGGTGTTGTTTGGATATAAGTTTTTTTGTGATTTTATTTTTATTTATTTTTTGTCTTTTGTGACATTTTTTTACCTGTTTGTAAAAAAAATTTATATATTTATATTATTTCCAACTAAACAAATATAAAAAATGAAAAAAAATTGAAAAATTGGGAAATATATATATATATATATATATAATTCACCCCCACCAAAAAACATACCACTACATAATTAATAAAAAAATTTAACTACACATAAAAAATAAACAATCACCAATTATCCACCAACAATTATCCATCATTCACCCATCATTCATTCACCAATAACCAACCACCAACAACCATCCATTATTAACATAACATTCATTCACCAACAACTACTCACCCAACAACCCTCTATTATTCATCCACCCATTCAACAACCATCCATTATTCATCCATCTATCCACCCAACAACTATCCATCATTCACCCACCCACATTTTTTCTATAAATATAACACAAGGTTTTTTACAATGTTCATATTCACCTACCCATTATTTTTATATCTTCTAAACTCTTTGTACCCACCTAGTAGATTTTCTACAATTTTCATATTCACCCACTCACCCATCCACTTACAATGAACAATTTGACTAAAGCCATATTCAATGGAGATTTTGATGAATCTTCATCATCTGATGATGATATTATCATGATCCAATTGTTCGCAATACAACAACAAAGAATACATACGTTAAGCCTAAACCAACCAACCAGACGTGTTGGTTCCACAAGTGGTCGTCGATATATTAATCGTGAGATGGTCAAAGGCGACAAACAAATTTATAGAGATTATTTTGCAGATAATCCTATATATCCAGAAGAATACTTCTGAAGACGTTTTCGAATGACGCGGTCATTGTTTGCCAGTATTTGACATGATATTCAACAAGTGAATGAGTACTTCATCCAAACTTGTGATGCCACTAGTGCTCCTGGATTATTCGGTGTACAGAAGATGACTGCAGCACTTTGGATCCTGCAATACGGCGTGCCTGCTGATGCTGTAGATGAGTACATTAGAATCGGCGAAAGTACTACAATTGCCACCTTGAATTTTTTTACCAAATCAATTGTTGCTACGTATGAAGCCGTTTACTTAAGAACTCCAAATGAAGCAGATGTCGCCAGACTATTGTAAGAGAGAGAGCAACGCGGGTTTCCTGGAATGTTAGGAAGTTTGGATTATACGCACTGGCGTTGGGATAAATGTCCAACTACCCAAGCCAGTGCTTACACTGGACACTACCACAAACCAACAGTTGTACTCAAGGCAGTTGCCTCCTATGACTTGTGGATTTGGCATGCTTTCTTTGGCATGCCTGGCACTCTAAATGATATTACTGTTCTTGACAAGTTGCCTTTATTTGCTGAATTAACTAGAGGACGTGCCCCTACTGCCAACTACACCATCAATAATCATGCATACACCATGGGATATTATCTTGCTGATGGTATCTTGAAGGATTATATGTATGTAATTTTCAATAATTTGAAGTTTATCAAAAATCAAAAATCAAAATCTACAATCATGAAAAGCCTTTTTTAGCCACCATGGCCGAAAAATGTGCCTCCGTGTACCAAGAAAGTCAATGGTCAGGGCATATCTAACTACACAGTGACAGTGTCCACTTGAGGAGATTTTTAACCATTGTTGTTATAATGTCATTTATATTATTATAATTTGACAATAAATAGTATTATTTTATCAAATTATAGTAATGGTGTTTCAATAGTCATTTACTATTTTGGTAAATCTCAATTAACTTTTTTTCCAAATTTGTAGGTGTTGTTTAGATATAAGTTTTTTTGTGATTTTATTTTTATTTATTTTTTGTCTTTTGTGATATTTTTTTTACCTGTTTGTAAAAAAAATTATATATTTATATTATTTCCAACTAAACAAATATAAAAATGAAAAAAAAATTGAAAAATTGGGAAATATATATATATATAATTCACCCCACCAAAAAGCATACCACTACATAATTAATAAAAAAAATTAATTACACATAAAAAATAAACAATCACCAATTATCCACCAACAATTATCCATCATTCACCCATCATTCATTCACCAATAACCAACCACCAACAACCATTCATTATTCATCCATCCATTCAACAACCATCCATCATTCATCCATCCACCCACCCAACAACTATCCATCATTTACCCACCCACATTTTCTCTATAAATATAACACAAGGTTTTCTACAATGTTCATATTCACCTACCCATTATTTTTATATCTTCTAAACTCTCTGTACCCACTCAGTAGATTTTCTACAATTTTCATATTCACCCATTCACCCATCCACTTACAATGTACAATTTGACTAAAGCCATATTCAATAGAGATTTTGATGAATCTTCATCATCTGATGATGATATTATCATGATCCAATTGTTCGCAACGCAACAACAAAGAATACACATGTTAAGCTTAAACCAACCAACCAGACGTGTTGGTTCCACAAGTAGTCGTCGATATATTAATCGTAAGAGGGTCAAAGGCGACAAACAAATTTATAGAGATTATTTTGCAGATAATCCTATCTATCCAGAAGAATACTTCTGAAGACGTTTTCGAATGACGTTGTCATTGTTTGCCAGTATTTGACATGATATTCAACAAGTGAATGAGTACTTCATCCAAACTCGTGATGCCACTGGTGCTTCTGGATTATTCGGTGTACGGAAGATGACTGCAGCACTTTGGATCCTGCAATACGGCGTGCCTGCTGATGCTGTAGATGAGTACATTAGAATCGGCGAAAGTACTACAATTGCCACCTTGAATTTTTTTACCAAATCAATTATTGCTACCTATGAAGCCGTTTACTTAAGATCCCCAAATGAAGAAGATGTCGCTAAATTATTACAAGAGGGAGAGCAACACAGGTTTCCTGGAATGTTAGGGAGTTTGGATTGTATTCACTGGCATCGGGATAAAATGTCCAACTGCCCAAGATTACTACGCGCACATACTTTCCGGTTAAGCATAGGTACCACATTAACAGAAACTAACTTTAGATGTTGTTTGGGAAGTAATAGTTTTAACTTAAAAGTTAAAAAATTATTAAAAAAATCAAAAATAGCGTTTGATAGAACTTTCTAAATATAATTTGAGAGTAGGAATTGTATTTTGAGTTTGTGAGTTTTAGAATTATGATTTGAGTGTGAAAAATTTGTTTGGTGAAAGAGTTTTGAATTGAGTAGAAAATTTTTGATGCGACATATGATATTTAATACAAAAACTTACAACTCATAACCAAACACACAACTCAAAATTCTATTAAAGCTCATAAAAAAAATTACACTGTTCCGGTCAACCGGCTGGACGACTAGTTAGTCTAAATTTTCCCGTTTTTGACCGAATTTTCAAAAATAAGTGTGGAATTAATTTTTGAAACTCGTAAACAAACATCATGTGCAAAATAAGCCCTGAAACTAATGTTCCAGAACTGGACCAAACAGAGCCAAAGATTTTATTCTCTCTACTTTTTACATATTTTTTCGTAAAAAATCAAAAATTCATTCCAAACATACAAATTTTTTTATCTCATATTTTAGTTAAAAAACCAAAAAATTAGTAAAATAACATGTTCCCAAACGAAGCCTCAGCTAGACCATCCTTTTTACAATAACCTGAAGGCCAACAACTTGTTGGCTTCTGTTCATCAATATATCACTCAAAGTGTACTAATGGACCAATATTGCATTGTAACGTTATCATATATGGCATCAATACATATACGTGTGTGCGCGTGAGAGAGAGAGAGAGAGAGAGAGAGAGAGAGAGAGAGAGATGCTGTAGTGTGGTAAGAACACTAGAACTTCTGTGCCAGCAAAGGATACTCCAAATGAACACAATACATCAGCAAGATTGACGTATAAAATTGAAAGAATAATGAATCATACATCCAAAGCTTACAAATCCAATCTGAACAAAACCTGAATGAAACTCAAACTACTTGCTAGCAAACAAACCAGCATTTTACCAAAAATGCCAGTTCATCAAGCTGCTGCTTCTAAATCCGGAATTGAGCCAGTTTCACTCCGTTAATTAATATTTGGCTGAAGTTAGAACTCGTGGAACAGGGGCATCATCAAGAGCTTCTAAAATCTCTGTTCATATCCCAAGAATATTCTCTTCACTCAATCAGCTAAACGCTTGTCATTGCTTCAATAAGTATCAAGAATAGCCATTACGCTGTTAGTGTCTGTTTGGATTCCCATTGTAAAATGTCAATAAATGCTCTCCTTATTTCTTTTTGGTGCAGTGCGCATCTGTACCATGCTGGGTGCAATCATCGTAACCAACGCTGTGGAGGAATTCCCGGATCTCTTTCGCACTGCTGTTGCTGGCTTGTAACAACCGCTCATCTTCCTCGTAGATTATATAAGGGGCTTCATCTTTCTTCCTCGATAGTAACCTTGAGGCTCCCTTCAACACGTGATACTCCCATCCCTGAACATCTATTTTCAGCAGAAGCACAGGCTGAGAATCTTGGATCACTTCATCAAGAGGAATGGACCTTACTTGAAGTGCAATCTCTTCATTGGACTTGAATGCCATCTTTGCACCAGTGGCTGAAACTGCACTGTTGTCAAGCCGGCCAACCAACTGGTAGCATATTCACCAATCAACATGAATAGGTGAGCCAAAAAAAAAAAAAAAACACTTTGACATGTTGATAAATGATTTATCATCACCACAGATGAGATGTCTTATTCAATAAATATGTAAACCTGATTTGATAGCATTTCACACCAAAATAGAGTTATGTTAGGGACCCCAAATAAATTACCAAATCTCTCATATGAGTGTGGGACCCACACAAATCACATGTGTGTGGATCCCACATCCATGTGAGAGGTTTGATAAAAAATTGGTAATTTATTTGGGGTTTATAGCATTTTCCCACCAAAATAAATGTTGTGGATGAGAAATGAGTGAAAATTAAAACACAGGAAATGAATTTAAGCATACTTCCAATAACTATGCCATGAGCTACAAATATATAATTATTGGAGCAAACTTTTTGCACATAATGCTCAACGAGAAGGGAATTAACTTATCCACCCAACTGTGTAACTACAATGCAAGAGTCATGTTTGAGCATATAGGCAAATATAATTATTAACTACATGAAGTTTTCTTTAAAGAAGAAATAAGAACTTCAAATCAAAATGTACAATACCATAATGTCAGTGGAAGACAAAATGTACAAAAGGCCTATGATGCACATTGCAGGGCAGAACTGCCTTGCCACACATTACTTCTACACTTGGTTCTAGTTTGCCAAAAAAGGACCTTTAACACGTTCATTGGATCTAATATTTTCCATTTCTCATCCTTCAAAACAAACCTCACAAACGGAAGCAATAATGGCCATAGAGCCACCTATCTATCATATTCTCACAGTGCCACCTGGCTTTAAACCGAGTAGCATACAATTTTTTTTTTCCACCAGATTGAAAGATTACTTCTACATCACAAAGTCTAACTCCAAGGAGTGCCCAAAGTACAGGGGAAGCTATTCTGACCAACAAATACATCAGCCATCTAGTTGTAGCAAAGATTTAAAAATCAATTACTAAATTTAGTGTGGCAAAATGCTCACTGCAATAAACTTGAGCAAGCAAGGTCACTGAGAGAGAGAGGGAGAGAGAGAGAGAGAATTGAACAAGCCACCTATTGATCACCTTAAAACTGAGGGAAAAACCAAAGAAATGAATCGCAATAGATCCATTTACAGGTCCTCAATATATCACTCAAAGATCTAAGTAATTCCTCCATAAGATACCTAGCTTGATTACAAGCTAGATTACGAAGCTATCCAAAGGTTCAAACAGGATACCCATGTCAATAAAGGTCAAGGAGAACAATTTTACCACAGCATTGGGAGAGAGCAGCTGAGGCAATGAAAAGGCAATACCCCCACCAATTACTGCTTCATAGGAGTACCATCTTGTACCTTCCATGTTTTTAAAGTTTGAACAAATCAACCTTATAGCAGTTTGCAAGGAAAGACAAGAATGCTGTAAATTGTTTGATGACTGTGATAGGCAGGCAGACAGCAGGAGCACTTAGCCACAAGGATTATGGTTTTAAAAAGGTGGTTTACAAGAGAGAGAGAGAGAGAGAGAGAGAGAGAGAGAGAGAGAGAGAGGGGGGGGGGGGGTTAAACAACTTGAGAGAGGTTGTTAAACCCCCTGCAGGAACTTGTCAATGATCCAAATAGTTTATCCACCAAGGTGGTTCAAATTTTAGAAAATCGACAGGTACATAAAAGGTAACAGGGCTAGAGAAAGTCACCTAAGATTAAAAAAAGAAGGGAGGAGTGCTATTGATTTTATCACCATACCAATACAAATTAGCATGAGTACGTTGCTTGAAGGACGGAAGCGTATAAAGAAAAGATTCCTCGCTTTACTTCTGTCACATCCATTTTGGATAAACAGAAATGGTAGACAAAAGTGGAGACTCTACTTCACCCACCTTCCTTTCTCTTCCCCACTTCCCTCTTCCTCCTGGCAAAAGATGGACTTATGTACTAAAGTACTACTCTTCCCTCCCACAAAATTTACAAAAGTTTCTACTTCTTAGATTTGGACCCCACAACAAACCTCAGTTAATCAACAAATAAAATTGAATTCTTTTAAAAGAAAAAGTAATATGATCATCAACCAGATAAAACCTCTAATTGTCTTGTTCTAGCAAGCTGCAGCTTAAAGTTTGAACTAAACGGGGAAAAAAAAAAATTTCTTTACTTAATTCTCAAGTGGCATATTAACATGCTTTATTGAACTCATAATTCTAAATTTACCTAATAAATATCCACTCCACCTTTACAAAGACCTAGTACATTCATGAAGCTTATACAACAAACTGCAGTCCGGGCATCTCCAATCCTTACCTAAATGCCAACTCAAACTTAAATTTGAGTAAAAAACACCCCAAACCCTTCTCCATCCCTTGACTCAAATTCATACCAACTTGAGTTTTACTCGTTTCTTTATCCAAATCAAGGGCGACTCAAATCTTGGCTCAAACATCCAAAGGCAATATTTGCTTCATTTGAAACTTCATTTATTTACCAAATTGCCATTCTTGGGATATGATGAATTTTTTTTTTTTTAAAAAAAAAAATCTGACTAAAAATTTGTGTTTGCCATTGGAGTGCTTCATATCGAATGAAGCTCAAGGGTTGAGAAACTCAACAACACTATCTTCAACAACTTGGACCCGGCCTTCTTTTTGCACTATTATGGATTCAGATTCAATTGTCGACTACCCATATGGGAAATAGCATTGACTACTGATCTTTGAGTACTCAGTTTTGAGTACAAGCTTATTTGATATAAAGCACTCGAATAACAAACACAAATTTTTACTCTGATTTGTAAGAATTTGAGCTCTTCAATCCTTACTGCATAAGAAAGAAGAGATCCAGCTTCTAAACAGGTTACTCTTAACCCATAATCTGACTTATTTTAGCTTTACCTGACCCAATAAGCAGACTATTTTTAGGCCCAATCCTAGGCCAATTCAGCAAATCCAATCTGACAAAAAAAATAGTCCAAACCTTCCAAAATCAGCCCAAATTCACCACCAGACTTTACCCTTTTAAAAAGACCTGGCCCCCAAAAATAAATAAATAAATTCAAACCAGCCCAAGCGCAACACAAACCTGACCCCTTAACTAGAACAATTAACATAAACCAAGCCTACACACACTCTCCAATCCAGTGGCTGATTAAGTTAAACCAACCCACTTCATTGAGTGAAGCAGGCCCAATTCCAGGTACAACACGCCAGGCCAATTCCATGTACACAAACCAGGCCCCAAAATCCAACGGCCTAAGTCCCCTTTCATTAAAAAAATTAATAAATAAATAATCCAGCCTAAGTTCTTCCAATCAAACACCCAATCAATCTCCCATGTCATCAACCATGCTTACCAATTCAGAGCTGTATTCTAAATATGAGACCTTAGCCCACTATGTGCAAGTGATAAAGAAAGATGTGCACGAGACAAAGACAATACTGTGACCTATGCCCAATCTGTCAGTCCAAGTTTTTGGCAATACTTCAGAATCTCCTCCAAGAGATTATAAAGATCTGGTAGAAATTGTTGATCAAATCATTCCAATATCTGAGGAATGTAAAATTATTTTGAAAGAAAATTTGGAAGCTCAAGTAGTTGTTTCCACACAGATGATAATCTTACCAAAAGAAGAGCCTCTTGAACTTACAAATGCACTCAACTTGTTAGATCCTATGGATGCTTCACCAACAACTTACTTGATCAAGTTTGGAGTACATGATTTAATTAGTATTGAAAACTTCCTTTGCTTGTTTAGTCCAAGTTTGGTGGATCTCATCAACACCTTGGGCCGCCTACATTACATGGACTCTTCAAAATAAATCAAATACCCGTATTGGACACCTAACACTCGTACAAGGGTATGAGATATGTGTCGGATACTTTTCATTTGACACTTCTTATATAATTGTATTTAACACTACTATTATATGTATATATTGTTGTACAATTGCTATAAATGTCCTTTTGACATTGTAAGTTATATATAACACCATTGTATCTCATATACTTTATTAAAAATATAAAAATTTGACATTTTTTTGCCGAATCCACGTATACTTAAATTTATGATTTGATGAGTCCGACCTTTAGATATATAACCCGCACTCGACACTTGTACCCAAGTCCATGTAACATAGTTGGGCACCTAAGAAGCACGGACACTTCTAAGAAGGTAACGTATCTGTGTCATGTCCGTATCGGATACCGATACTCTTTGGACACTTCCTCGACACATGTTCGACACTCTTCAAAACGTGTCCTATTTTTTTATTTTTTTTAAAGATCTGGACACTCTTTAGACACTTGGAGGACACACGTGTCTATTACGTAGACACACGTGTCTATTACTTAAACACAGGTGAAACTAATTATAAGTTTAAACAAAACAGCTTAAGATACAATAATAAAACAAAAATCATATAAATTAATAGAAATTAATATCATGTTGCATTTTTTATTATTTTTAGATGATATATTCATATATATAACATATAATAAATATATAAAATTATATATTTCATACGTGTCCCCCACGTGTTGTGTTCTACATTTTTTGAAAATTACCGTGTCAGCATGTCTGTATCGTCGTATCCATGTCATGCCATATGTTCGTATCCATGCTTCTTAGTTGGGCACTAAGAGCAGTTAGCATGGGAAGAAAACAATGCAAGTTGCATATTTGAAGTATTTGATTCTTTGGCATAGACAAATTCATTACTTAAAGGAAAACTAGAGGATGAGGGGTTTTTTTTCCTTCTTTTTTTATTTTTGCAATCGGGGACAGAAAGCATGATGTAGAACATGTCACCATGGAAATTTTATAATTTTGTCTTTAATATCTATTATCTAATTTATTTTAGTATTTTATTTTTAAATTGTGGTTTAATTAAGAGTTTTAGTTTTGTTAGGATTTTTATTAATATATGCTTTTCTATTCTACTAGGATTCAGCTTCCTATTTTGCTTAGATTTTTGACTTTAGGGCTTGTATTTTATTATTTAGTTTTAATAAT